AAAAAAAGTACCATTACAATATATCTTCCTTCTCAAAAACTGCAGTTGCAAAATAAGCGAAATATTTGAACAAGACACCTTGATAACAAATCGACTATGAAAGAACAAACCTTCCGCAGCATCAACTACAAGCGGAGGTGTCTGGTCAATGGATGAAAATGAGACATCCGTTATGTCAAATGAAGCTAATGATTGCTGGTGATGCCTTTCGTAGGAACGGGAAAGTTTGTACACGGTAGTACCCATCGCAATGAGATGTTCAACTAAAAATCATTCACCAATTTCTGGCTACAGCGAAAGTAAAAACGAATGTCACATTATCAAAAAGTGAATTAAAGATAATAAATAGCAGAGAAATCAAAAATAAAGTTATAGTTTTGATTAAAAAAACAAACAATTACTTTCTGTCCAATATTTCACCCGCAAATTTTACGAAATTTATGCCATTAGCAACAAGAAAAGTAACTAAAATATTATCCTAGTAACACACACTTTTTTGACTTTGGTACTTGTGACTCAAGATTTATATTTTAACCAGCTCCTGAAACCTTTAGTGTTAGGGATGTTACAGGACTTAATGCACTAATTTGCTCCAAAATTCAGTAGCCTTTTGGAGGCTAACTCCACCTCATGCATTTAAAACGAAAATGACAAGAAAGTGTAGGAAGTTATAAGCCTTGATAAGGCAGGCCAAAATTTGGAATTTCTACAGCGAATTAACAACAGTGAAGAGGAACAAAGAATGCTACTTGAAAAAAGCTCATTTTAAACAAGTTCCAAAAATTCGCTCCAGTAATGACTTTTGACTAATACCTTCAAAATAAACACTGTATTATTCGAACAATGAGAAGAAGATATAAAGACAAGCAAATTGAGAGTGCAAAAAATAACCAAAGTTCTAAATTTCTTTAACGCGTTAGACTAAAAACTCTTCCGGAATGACAAACAAACTCGATCTGAGCCAAAAAAGAAAAAAAAAAAAGAGAAAAAAGCGCACACCAACCAGCCCATCTAAACTGTATAACCCGAACAAATTGAAAACAAGGACTAGAACTAATTTTAATTTGCAAAAGAAACCTGCTTGTTCCAACCCAATTAACTGATGCTTTGATATGCACTCGTGAAACTTTATAACGCCCAAACGACTCATATTTCCCAAGTATACAACTTTCTTCAAAATTTCGTCCTCGGTAATGTTGACAGTAAAAACTCGACCAATCAGAAGCTCAGCAATCTAAAATAAAACCAATTATGCGCTGGTATTAAACTTTAGAAAAACTAGGTTGTTTTACAACGAGCGTTTAAATTACATTTTGCATTTTACACTGGCTTAGTTGTTCTATACTACGGTTCGTACTGATAAAGCAACTGAAACAAGTTAGCTCAAAATTTCAATTATCAGACGCAAACAGTTTTAAAACTAGAGTAAATAAAAGGAAGAGTAGCTAACAAAGTACTGAAAAAAAAATTAAAACTAAAATCTGTAAAAACTTTACCCTCTAAGAAGAAATTATATGCCTCCGAAGTTTAAAAACTCAGCCATTACTTTCATGTACCTTGACTTAAATCATTTGCCGTATTACCTCAGCATAATAATTCCATCAGCACAGAAATTTTTATAATATTACATTAAAAAATTACGAATGAAGGCATGCCAAAACCGAAAACTTGAGGATTAAAACAATAAGGCACAAACTTGAAGAAAACTCACAACTTTCTTAACCGCTTCTACTTTCTCTATTTCAAGACGCTCAAGTATTTGTCGTAATTCAATGACGTTCCACCACTAAACTATCAGTTCAGTCACTGCATTAAAACGTCCATAGAACGATGAAGAGGTAGCAACAAATAGCAACCAAACAATTTTAAAGAACCAACAACAACAACTCTCAAAAATAAAGTATTCTCAAATAAAACCCTAACTTTAATGTAGCGATGATTTTTGAAACCTCCAAGAAGTTGAAAAGCAGCTATCCTAATTTTAACCACATTGTCATTGACACCCCACAAGATTATTCGCTTTACAGCATTCTCCACTGCATTAACGGCTTCTGGACAGGGTATCATAAATCGCATGCCTTCAAAAACTGCTAGGCGAACCTCCGAAGAAACATCCCGTGCTAGTTTATCCACAATCTTAATAAAAACAGCCTTAAAGAGTGCCAAAAAGGAATCTAAACGTCTGAGACAAAAAAATAAATAGTTCAGAGAGAACTGATATCAACAGTAAAACATCTACCATTACAGAAACTCTAAAAAAAAGCTCTTAGTTTACAAAAAAGAAAGGGACACCTTCCCAAAATTTGTTTTGCGATATTCCGTGGAGAAAACGCTCCAAAAAAGACTGAAAATATACAGGGCCTGCTTGCATGCATATGCCCGTATAGGAACACTTGGATCTGCGAGTAAATCTGCTATAGTATTTAATTGTACTCCTAAAAGCTCTCCGTTCTCCTGAAAAAATTTCAAACTTGTGTAATAAAAGAAAAATGCCTGGTGAAATAAGCGCAAAGGTGTTAAGCAAAACCACTATTCGTGCACTTCTGCGCACGATAACTTCATAACAGAAAATGTAATTTTAAAAACATCTCTCTTTCTTTTAAACTGAAAAAAAAATTTTTTTTATTTAACCTGAGGAAAGTTAAAACAAAGAGTATTGCCGTTTTGAGCTCTTATTTGTCTCGGTTGATAAAGAATAAGAGACAAAAAAAATATTGCAAAAAACTAAACTATCTGGATCTGTAAAACAGTTCTTCACTTGCTAAAAAAGAAATTCATGTCAAAGAAATCCAAGTTCTACAGACAAAAAAAAAACAATGCTACTACAAGCAGCAAAAATAACTTATTTGTAGTTTTGCTTCAAAGAGCCAAAAAAAAATGTAAGAAAAACCTATAAGAATTTTTGTATTACTTTGTTATTTAGATAATCAAGTTGTCTTTAAAGGAAATGCAAAGAGAGGTCCTTTTAAGCACTGTTTTCTTGCCAAGCACATTAGGGTAATTATGGTCCTTAGCACTGCTAATACGGTACTCCAAATATTTGATGAAAGAACATTCAAGTCCACTAAAAACCCGTAAATAAAAACCAGCTTACTAAGTCATCTTCCTTCACAAGAGGATAAAACGAAAAGAACAGTTTACAGGCGTTGTAGCGGGCAATACCATTCACTGACTGTAAAATAAGAGTTTAATAAAAAGCTAACTACAATCTTTCAAAGTCAAATTCCACTAATAATTGAACAACAAAATGCTACCTTGAGACACCTCCACAAATTTGGCCTTAGAATCCTCTCAATCATTGTATCAGTCTGCTTGTTTCTTGTAGCAAGAAGAGGATTTAAAACCTCAAAAAAAAAAAAAAAACATTCTCTTCAATTAAATGTTACTGTAAAAGAATTTATTTCTTAACACAGCATATCGGCATATGAAATTACGAAGAAATTAGTTATACTTACAGAACGGAAACTTTCACTTGTATTCAAATCTGTTGTAATTGCGTAACGGACAACATCTTCAAATATCAATTCCACGTTTCTACGATTTTCATCTGGTTCGGCTGACTTCCATGCCGATAAAAAAATTTCCCCATAATATTCACACAATTTCCTGCACATGTTTCATATTAAACATCTAATGTAGTGTAAAAAAACTGAAGAAAAGTTTACAGACTTTCAATTCTGAAAAAAGTTATTTACAATACCTTCAATAAGCGTCCAGTTTTGAACACCGTATTACAGCAGACTATCAGGAAAAAATTAATTACTAAATGTACAAGCTCTAGTATTTAAAGACATACTTTGCAGTACTGGATTTTTGTATGACGTTCTTTACAAGTAACCAGAAGCCTTTTAAACCAATTTTTGGAATAAAGAGGGCGGCCAGCTTACGACCCTGTCAATTTGCAGGTAAGAACAAAATTCGATTAAGATTTATTACTAAAGCCACTTCATAAGTAGCCAAAACAAAAAAAATTGAAGAAAAAAATGCTTCTCCAAAAAAGCAAGATATTTCTTTGTAAACGCCTCAAAAAAATCTTAAAACTATCCAGTTTTCAGTAATCACGAAACCTCTAAGACGGAAACAAACGATCCTTCGTAAACAGCACGTCTTAAGTCGTTTACTGAACACTTTTCGATCAACTCAGCTTGATCATTATAAAGCCTTTTTATCAAAGCTTTCTGAAACGCGAATTATTAACAAAAATGTTGCAGATTAGCAAGAGGAAAAAAAAAAAAAGGAAAAACGTCATGATTAGAGAACTCGAAATATTTTATGCTTAAACTGTTGTTATTAAACAGGGCTTCTAATCAAGATAACATCTGTCTTGGCAGTCCGAATACTAAGTGAATGAAAACTATCCGTTGCTCCATAAAAGTACGTTAAATGTAAAATAAAAACTTCTAAATGCTACCTGGCCCTTTTCAGCAATCAGCGCTTTAGCCAAAAGATGCGGATACTCGTCCAAATGATAGTCCAATTTGGACATATTCATTTCTTCAGCCTCTTCAGCAAACTGCTCTTCAGGCTGTTTTTGGACCATTGTTTAATGAGTAGCTAAATAAAAAGATTTACATTTTACTTACAAAAGTAACCAGGAAGAGTAATCAGTAACCAAAAGATTTCTTTTTAGTAAATTGTGAGCTACAAGTTTTAATAGAAGAACAACCTAAGTTAAGATGCTGTTTGAATTAAATCAAAATAACTGAACAAAAATCAAAATGCACAGTGGAAGCTTTAAAAGGTGGTAGGTGCGCCTATCACTAGTAAGTTTTAAAAAATGTTCTTTCTTTTCTTGCTATTTTTTAAAACGTCTGTCCAAAAAAAATATAGAAGTAAAAAGACTAAAAATGCATCTCAGCATTAAAAAAAGTACCACTTAAACGCTACAACCATAAAACTTCTTGCACAATAATTTCAGGTCCACAGAATAACCGTATGTATAGGTGGCCGTATCAACTATCCACTCCCTGCTAAAAAAAGAACCCTTCTGGGGTAAAATTCAAGCCCTCCTAACGCCACCTGTAAAATCTGAAAGGAAACTCGAAATTAATGTAGATTAGATCGACTGTTACAACGACTTCAGCTAACGATCCCAACAACAACAACCACTGAGATCGGCTCTATGAATATTTAATTTTTAAAAGTTTAAATTTCCCGCTGGCGCGAAAAAATTCATGCCTAACTTTTTGATGTTGAGTACGTCAAGCAATTCTTCGCTGTCACAACATCAGTTAACCTTGTTAGAGGATCGGGAGCTCAAGATAAAAGCATCTTTCCTAAAGTTCTACTTTTCCCGTGGACCATAACCTGATTTGTCATGTCTATTGACTAATTTCGGTCGAGCACTTTATATTTGGATGATTCTTCATTCGTTGAATCCTTCGAATATCACAAGCAGCGAAATAATCGATACGATACAGAAATGAGAATAAATCACTGAGCAGAGTGCCCACTAACCTAAACTCCCACCGTACTGAAGTTCTAATATTACAGATTGAATAGGAACACAGGTCAAACCGACCTCTAATGCCCCTTCTAGTAGTAAGATAAAGAATTATTACAAGCGGAACAGATGACCTTGAACAAATAAAACTCTACTGAAGAGATGCAAAACAACAAGAACTATTTAGCAAAGTAACAAAAATAATAAAGAAAAGAACAAAGTAAATAAGCTTGAGAATTATAGTAAGGAGATAGCAAAGCTTCAAGAAAGATCACCAACTTTCACCTTCCTTTTCGCGGGGCTAAACTTCTTAATAACACCTTGCTCTTTTATACTGTCTGTCTGGCAATGATCTTCCAGCATGACCTCTAAGAGCTTCCCCTTAGGATCATGTCTGGTCCATTATCGTCTTCGATCCTTGGGCTATTTCGCGTGCCGTTGCGACAAGGTCCTAAGGCCACAAAAGCTGCTCATGACATTTATAGAGGTGTCGCAGCTAAAAGAACTTTGAATCCACTTATTCTAGAACTAATTTCCTAGTCATTATTGCAAGTAGTCCCACCAGTATCAACGCCATTAGGCTGCTTTGAAAATCCATTTCAGTTATGGTTTGGTAGTGATGGCCTCCTTACTTCCTGTGAAACATCAGAACAGAGGAGGACGAGTCATTTACGGATGGGAACTGCCACCTTCTCTAAAAAAAGTGTGAGGCTTTTTTAGTCTACCGTCGATGAATTACCAGTAAAACCAACTTCCTCAATTATAATCGGCATTTTTTACTGTCTTGTCTTCGCCTTCAACTGTTATTTGCTTCAGAACTTTTATTTGACAACAACGTAAAAGTACTTACACATTTTACAATAAGGATAACAAGTCTCAAAGAAAACTTATAATGATAACGCTATATCCAAAAAAAAGAACCCAAAACAGAGAATAAAAAGCTTATAACAAATAAAGATGCAAAATAACCTCCGTTTATGCAAAGAAAAACGCCCAATAAGTTAACTGCGGTACCGGAAATAAATCCCACTGCATAAAGACTCGATTATGAGTAGGCTTCCAAGCATAGAAAATTGCTGCTTACCAAACTGCGCCATCACTACATAAAACTATTCTTTTCTCAATCCCTGCAGAAGGTGTTTAACTCAAGGATGTTACATCTGCTGTATTAAAAAGCGTGACATCCAAAATAGTGTTAAAACTTGACGGTGGCACAAGTAAATTTTTTAACTTAACTTCTATTGTAGTTTGGATGCTACATTACCAAATTATCGAACACAGAGAAGTAGAGAAACCGCAGAGCTAGTATGCAGCAATTACCACCCTATTATATTTTAAATTACTTAGTTAAAAACTAACAACTTAATAAGCAACAACAGCTTTAGCAACAACGTTATTATTAACAATAACAGCAACACACGTTAAGATTAAGGAAAGACATTAATAGTACTATCACTGGTGATTTCAC